TATTAAGAGAAGTCTACTACGGTAGGATGGCAGTCTCACAGTTGCATCCCAGTTGAGGCCCCGTAGGGCAAATAATAAAAAGTTTTTCTGTACTGATTCAATACGGTCCTGATGTATGTTGTACTGAGGGCACCATACACATGAGCCGTATTCTAAAATCGGACGAACAAGCGAGATATAGAGAGTCTTCGTTATATAGGGGTCCTCAAATTCCTTTGACCACCTCTTTATAAACCCAAGCACACCCATGGCTTTATTTACCATGGTAGAAATGTGTTCAGAAAACTTTAACTTTGGGTCTAGTTTAACACCTAGATCATCAACCAATGTAATTCTCTCAAGAGAACTACCGCAGAGGGTGTAAGGAGCCAGGAAGGGGCTGGAGCGACAAAAAGTCATAACATTGCACTTCGAGGCATTAAGTTGTAACATATTTGCACAGCACCATGACTGAAAGCTATTGAGATCAGATTGCAAACGAGAGTGAAATGAAATGTCCTTATACTGGACACAGAGCTTAACATCATCCGCATACATAAGTACTCGAGAATTTGTTAATACAGAAGGCAGGTCATTAATAAAGAGTGTGAAAAGTAAGGGGCCTAAATGGCTACCCTGTGGTACTCCAGAAGTAACCATAACAGGTAAAGATACGGAGTTTTTGAAAAGGACCCTTTGAGACCTATAACACAGGTAGCTAGAAATCCATCTCAACAGATTGGGCGGAAACCCTAGAAGGTTGAGCTTTTGTGCAAGAAGAGAATGGTTTACGGAATCGAATGCCTTACTGAAGTCAGTGTAAATAACATCCGTCTGCAAGTTACTTTGGAAGCCTTTAATTACAAAGGAGGTGAACTCTAAAAGATTAGTGGTTGTTGATCGTCGCCGTATAAATCCGTGCTGAGCTGGAGATATAAGTGATTTGCAGAGATGCTGCAAGTGCGGAGTTAAAAGTTTCTCGAACATTTTAGGAATAGCGGATAACTTAGATATACCTCTATAGTTTTTAGCGTCAGACTTGCTACCTTTCTTATTGAGAATAATAATAAAGGATTCCTTACAGATGGGGGGAAACCTAGAAGAATGGATGGATAGATTGAATGGTTTAAGACTTCTCTTAATAAATCTTCCATCCTTATTTAGTCGTAGAAAATTGCTTGGTGTATTTTTTATGCACACCTTGATCAAGGGATATGTAGACAGCCCTGACTTGCTGAGCCGCATAAGCTTTACGATTCCCATTAGACCCACTAGAAACTTTATTCCTTTGTTCCTTCCACTATGTAGAT